CTAGCATAGCAGTATAGTTGTATAGCGGTATGATGGTATAGCGGTGTAAGGTAGTGAGATAGCGGTGTAGCTGTGTAGCGGCGCTACCGAGACTAACTGTGGTAGAGATCTGGAGATTTGCGTTGGAAAAGGATTAAAATCGGTGGAATATCTATCTTTTTTCATGATTGTAGGTTCAAACACATGAATGATGTGAAAACTGTAATAAATTTCAGAAGTCGCGTTACCGTATTTAATATTACTGAATGAAGTTGTTCAGATTTACATGTGAAAGATTTAACTCGAGGGGTTTTCAAATTATGCGATTTGTATTGGTGAATATTTCTTAAACAGCAAAGATCTTCAATTTAAAGGTTAAAGCACGAGTGGAAATATTCAATAGGGACTAGCATGTAGTTATGCTCAACTCGGGTACGTTGTGATGATAGGAAATTAGCTTTCAATGTTACTCATATGGGTACTGACTTTAATTGGCATGAGAATAATCAGAAGAAACATCTGGGTAAAGAATGTTTAAATTCAGATGTACACTGAAAAGATCAGGGAACTAATAAATGGAAAAGCCGTTTTTGATTATCTGATAAACGTAAAAAGAGTTAATAGCCTTGCGACATGACATCAGCCCTTTTTTCCCGAGATGTCGAAGATAATAAATGGTTTTTGCGTTTATTGGGCACTGCAAAAATCGAAGAAGAATTGTTACCCCCTTGGAAACCCAGAAAGCCTACTTTTTGGTAGAGTATAATGATGAGAATGTCAAAAGGTTAGAAGATGTCGCATAAGGACAGCGATTCTTGAACTATAGTTCCTTAGCGTCTATCATTGTCATATGGCGTTCGTGGTGCTGTTCATTGTGTAATGTGAATAACAGAACAAAATAAGAAGAAATGAAAGAAAACATTCAATTGAACCCTGCTGTAGAAGTTAATATACCATTGGTTGAAGTTCTCAAGAGAAGGAAAATTTGAATTTTTAAACTTCGTTTTTATTATAATACATAACAGCATAAATAGCTAAAATGAGAAAATAAAATTTTTTTTGGTATTATCAACCATGTTTAACGGATTTTATTTTAATTATTTCCTATTTATTCAATGATGTTCGTTGAAAATCTGTTGAACTAATAATTCACATATATTCTAATATCTTTTTATTTCTATCTAAGATTTCAAAAGTTTCACAAGAAATGGTGTGGTTTAAAAAAAGCTAATACAAGTTATTGTCATGAGTTGGAATTTAGTTATTTATTGTTATTATCAGGATCAATTATATCTTCATATTCATCATCAGCTTGGAAATCAGCTTCATTAATATCTTGTTCCAGCATCAATGTTTCGAATACGCAATAACGTTGATAAGATTGTTGATCATGAATCACAGTTTCAAGATTGCTACCAATAATAAGACCTTGTTGAGCAGGATCTTGATTTATTTTATCGCAGTTTTTTAAATGAAAAAGTAAAATAGTAAATAATGCTGATGTAGGATAAGAGAAACTTCGTAAAGCAGTTTTGAAATTGGTTAAATAAGAGAAAGTTTGTTCAGCTATGCTAGTATTAATTCCGATAAACTTAATTTTATTTTTTTCCGAATCAGCATTAAAAAATGTCTTGCATAAACTTCCCGTATGTACTGTATTATGAAATCGATCTGTTACCAATGTCATATTCATTAATTGTCGTGTATATTTAGTTTCTTCCATATGTTCAGTACCAAATCGGTACCTCCAGAATTTATACAATTGACATGCAGCATCATACACAACTAGTGACGGTAATTTTGCTTCAAGTTTCAACATTGTCAACAGATGGTCGGTGATTTTACGAGGCCCTTCGTGATTAATCGAATCAGAAAAACCGATAATAATTCCACAATTTAGGAATGAGGCAATAAAACCCATTGACCGTTTCTTTGTTTCAAAACGTTCTTCCATGTCATGTCGACCAACGTTGCATTGAGATTCTTCACGATCAAATTCTTTAAGATATTTCAAATACTTTTCTAATTCGTTATCGGACATTTTCGTTTCAATTGATAATTCTTCTGTACGTTTACTTCGATGATGATCGCAATAATAATATCCATAATCTAAAAATAAAAATACCGGTAATATTTGTTATAAACAGTAGATTGATATAACAATGCGACTTCTTTTCATTCAATTTTTGTATGCCTATTCACGCAAAATTAATCTAATACGTTTTTTTAAGAATTCAACCGTTTTATATTTAAAAAAACAGAATTTCAATCAATGGCTATATTAAATTATTTTCATACCATCTGGTTCTTGATTGTGCGATTTTTTTCTTCTTGGCATATATGGGCAGCCTCGATTGATGGGACCTAATTCAGCAGCATTAAAAACACTGGTCACGTTATCATATCTGCAAACTAAACGGCGTCTGAAATAGAAAAAAACAAAATATTATTTTTATTCGAAAAGATAGTTTTCAAATATTTGAAAGACATGTAGATCATGCAGAATTATGATTGTGAAACATTTTATCAATAATTAATAGAAAATGCAAATAAAAAACTTTTTTGGTAAATAGACTTACGGCTTTTGGTGGCCATCAATTATCATAACTTTTGAACAATTACCACATTTGCAGCTACCAAATACGCTTTCGTGATTTGACCAAAAGACAGTGAAAACATGGTAGATCCAATTCAAGTTTCTTTCAATAAATATTGCTCTTGATGATTGTTGTCCTTTGATTGTTGTTCGACCTTCACTCATTGCGTAGGGAAAGCAAATTTCCGTTGATTTACTAGTCATTAATATAAAATTTGTTAACTCGTAATATAACCAAACAGATTGCAGATTGCGAGCGAGATTATCAGCTGTAATAACATTCTCGCTACCAGGATGAAGTCTATTGAAGGTTTTTATTGTAGCAAAAGCAAAACCTTCAAAAGTGACGTAATTGTCAATTAATTGTGAAGAAAAGCAAATGAGAATTTCTTTTGAAAAAACGGTTAAACCCGAAAAATATATGTAATCAGATTTTTGTGATTCAGCAGTGACAAGTGTTTGTTTTTGATCTATCAAATAAATGGATGATACACGATAAGAGCGACGGCATTGATGACAATCAGCTTTATACAGAAGGCATGGCTGAATTTTTGTACAGTAAATAACTTGGGCACAGGATTGAAAAATAATTTTTAATTGTGCATTGCACAAGCTACAAATGGTTCGATGTGGTAAAAGTAAAACAGGAGTGAAGTTTCTTGCAAATGCTGATTGAGGTTGAAGATTTTTATATTCGTTCAAGTAATGTTGTATCTTGTCAATTCCACAATCGAAATTCAATTGGTCTTGTACAGCTTGATTACCCATTAAAATATTATGAGCGGTGAGAACATCATTGCTTGAATAATGAATACCAGTTTCTTTTTTTAAAATGAAACATATAAAATGAAGTCGTTCTTCACTAGTACTAGGAGGAGGCAATGGATAAACATAACTTGCTGGAATTAGACGTCCAACATTTACGATGATTGTGGCTGCTTTAAAAGATCGTTTATTTTCATCAGGAAATGCTAATGTAAGGCGTTGGGATATTGTTTCGATAGTTGACATCTAAAATTAGACAAATATGTGAAATTGATCTTTCTAGACAATGATTTAATATACAACAAACAACAAACATGCCCAGCATCATAAACTTTTGCTGTGGTCACTCACATTTGTTTATAGAGGTGTAAGCCGAGCGGCTGAGCCGCCACCGTCGCTGACTCATAGTTTATGTCCAGCCGCCGCCATTGCTGATTCAGATTTTATTTTCAGCCGCCGTCGCCGGCGAGAGCCAAAAAAAGTGAAATTTTTTTAGCTGTCACTGAAACTCGAGAATTTTGGAGTAGCCACCGCCGATCGAGGCGTCGGCTTACACCTCTATTTGTTTATATTACGTGATAAACAATGTCAACGAGAAAGATTTAGATAAATCAAAATATTAGATTCTTCTAAGATGTATACTCAAAGAAAGCTTGACTATGAGTAAATGAATTTTACTGTTGTGCTTGAGAGTATCAATTGAAAAGAAAATCTAAATTTTTTAGAAACAAAATATTCCAATTCCATGTATAGCTTGAATATTTTAACATTTGTTAATGCAGAAATAGATAGATGAAATTCTGATAAAGCAACTTTGATTTGAACTTCAAGGTCAAATATTTATCCAATTCTAGAAAAAAAAGCATTATTGTACAACTATATAAAAAATAATCAATATTGTGGTTGCTTGAGATTGGATGGTATTTTATCGTTTTTTTTTTGACTGTAAAATATCCAGGATGTTTTAGTGTCCTCTGTGAAATTTGTTATGATTTCTATTGCTAATTTTCTTATTAATTATCCAAAAATAAAGTTTCAATCCTTTGCAAGAATATTTATTGTGCTAATGTACACGTTGACATAATAGTTAATATCAGTTACTACTCTTGAGACAAATATATATAAAATATATGTTTTCACAACATAAAAATGTCTACGTAAAATCGAATTACAGAAAATATATAAACGAGTTCAATAAAAATGTCAATAGTATCTTTTTAGAAGATAATTAATAACATGATGAATAAAGAATATGCAGAAAAACAAAACTGAAATAACAAGCTGTTGAATAAAGAAAAATTTCAACGAATCTTGTACATATATAAACGCAAAAAAAATATGGATTGAAAGATATTAGTGTTCATAGGAAGAAGAAGATTATCATTAGCAAACAAATAGTTAAATAAAAACAAGAAGATAAAGTAACAATGACAAACTTGGTTCAGTCTAAGATGTGAAATAATTTAAAATTGTACAAAACAATCTTATAAACAAAAAATCTTTCGTAAAAAATGACTAAAAACAACCAATAAAATAATGTTGAATATTAATACCAAATTACTGATAGAGGCAATAAGCAATGATTATGTACACATAGAAAGACATAATAGAGAAATGCGAAGAATAGTTATACTGATAGAAGGTGAAAATAATATAAATATTAGTCTTCACGAATTTTTGGTTTTCGCTTACGTTTAACAGGAATATCTGTACCACATACATTTAAAGTTTCTCTTTGCAATTCTTCAGCTTTTTTTCTTTTGTTTGCCATTGTTCTTTTAATCTTTTCTTTTTGTTGTTGCTGAAATCGATCGATTTCTATAAAACGTTACAATAGATGATTATTAAATTTTCAATCAAATAAGCTTACGATAATTAGACGTTGTTTGTGATAATTTATTTGTAGCATAAATCAAGCTTTCGTCGATCTCCAGATTATCTTTGAACCATTCATCATTGATTATTTGTTCTTTTAATAGATCATTAAATAAATACGATTGGTTGAGCATTTTTCCATCAATACGACGTTTAACATTGTGATGTGGATTCAAAGAAAGTTTATATTCTTCAATATCTAACCCCAAATTGGCGAGGCTCATCGCTACATCAGGATTAGCAGGACTGCCTTTCATATAACCACCAATTGAAGTACCTTTTCCATCACAAAACCAGTTACCTTTAACCAATAATTTTTTCTGAACAAGAAAATCAATTAATTTAAATCGAGACGTTTCATCAAATAATCTTGAAGGTATCATTTTAAACAAATCGGTCAATGTACCAAGAATAAATTGACGTTTTATAAGAATTGATTTCCACATAGAAAAAGATTTCGGATTGATGATAAGATTGTCGACTTCTAAAAAAACAACAACATTTTACAAATTTTTTCAAGAAGAATGGACACGAAACTTTCTCGAACAAAAGTTGAAAGAAAACTTCTCTCTCATCAGTTATTTATCCACCGAAGATTTCTTTAATAGCGTTACGACTTGTACAACTGAATTCAACAACAACTTTTACTCGACTGACTTTATTCATAAAAGAAGATCAATTGGATAGAAAATTTTTTAAAATGACTTTCGGAAATAAATTTAATTAAATTTTACTCCTAACTGCTTTGCTTTAGCAAGTTTCAAAAGTAGAAAGGGAGAATCGAAAAATTCACCTTCCATTGACCATTTCTGTGATGTTGCATTTGTTGAGCTTGGACGACCTCGTTGTTTTCTTTTTTGAATATTTGAAGTATTGGAATCTAGAATATCGATATTTTGATTAAAAAAACTTATGTAAATATTATTATTTAGCACCTGTTGAAGATGTCGTGATGCTATTTGTGAGATTCTTCAATACACTAGTAGGTGAAAATGTTGGTTCATGTGTTGAATTTTGTTCATCTAGACAAATAAAAATAAAAACAAATAAATATGAAATTGCAATACGTTTCACAACAAATGCTAAAGCTCGTTTTAATAAAATCAACGGATATAGAGCATTGTTTTTAAGAATTATGGTCGACTAATATTACTTCTATGGCGGAATAATGAAAAAGACTTGAGAAAACGAAGATGCTATCATTGTATATAGGAATGACAGTATTTTGAAATGACAACATTCTATATGAAACAACTCACCACTAGACATCCAATTGTCAACGACTGTATCTTCTCTTGGCTTATCTACTATCATATTTGGATCAAATTGTTGATCACCGAGAATACCTTCAAAATTGGTAACAAATTGATCTTTATTGGAAGCTAGAAAAAAGAAAAAAAGATAAATGAATATGTAATTATATTTTAATACAAGATTCATATCATGATTTTAGTCAAAAAGAAAAAAACCTAACCTAAATTTGATGAAGCACCAGCGGTGACTAATGAAGTTGTCGTTGTAGATACAAGAGAAGATAAAGAACGATGGTGGAAAGAATCTATACACATAGAAAAGTTTCGAGATGAACACGATTCATTATTCTATCAAATTTAGTAAATGAAAGATTAAAATCAATATTTCATTTTTATGCTGGCTATAGCTTCCTTTTAATTTTACAAAAATATTAGTTTCTTTAAAATTCTCAAAATCGATAACATCTACTATATCTTACGGTGAATTTTTTGAAAATCGTCACAGAAAGAAATACAGTATTCGTGAAAGTGTGAGACAACAATGGTTTTCAAGTGGAATGATACGTTACTTTGATTTTCAGATTGTATTGTTTCGAAAAAAGAATCAAAATTATCAGGTTCGACATTTTGTATACGATTAATAAAGATATTGTTGATGGAATCTGAAATACGTACACATGGCAGAAGAAATGAAATAGTTATGTTTTATATTTTGTTCACTAGCTACAATCACATCATATTTTTTATTTTATCCGAAAGAAACGCTCGAAAGGAATATCGACTGAATAGATCAAATTACCAATTAATAAAACACTTATGTACAACAGATTCAAAAAGAATTCGTGCGAATGAAAATAAAAAAGATGGAATTCCAGTATTGTTGGGAAAATAGTATTTTTAGATAAAAAAATTAGATTTTTGGATTCACTTACTTTTCAATGATGATGTAAATGTCGTGTTACCACGCGGAGAACGTGAAAGTTCATGTGGTGATGATGATAATTGTTTATTTGAACCAGTAATATCTTCAGTTAAGTTTGACAACATTAGAATGTGTCGTTCGTGTTCTCTTGCATTTTCAGTATTAACTGAATTATCTGGTTGAGAGTGTACAGTAGCTTCTGCTTCACCAATTGTTTGAAGTTGTCGATCTAAGAGAGAAAACGCGTAATATTCTTTTTATTATGTGAAACATTTAGCTCAGAAATCATTATATGCAAAACAAAAGATACATTAATATAAGAAAAATAAAAATTATGGATTTTTTCATTTTAATATAATAGAAATATATAACACAACATATAGTAAATCAAATGAAATGAAATCAAAAGAAGAAAAGAGAAAAATTAAGTTCTTATGTTTTTCTTTTTTTATTTCATATATTTTCAAATATCATATTATTGAATATTTCGAACATAACAATGTTCATCATCAGCAATGGATGCATACGTGTACCATAATTGTTGTTGAATTTGAATTAATATAAGAACTTAATTCTTCTCTTTTCTTCTTTTGATTTCATTTCATTTGATTTACTATATGTTGTGTTATATATTTCTATTATATTAAAATGAAAAAAATCCATAATTTTTATTTTCTTATATTAATTCAAATTCAACAACAATTATGGTACACGTATGCATCCATTGCTGATGATGAACATTGTTATGTTCGAAATATTCAATAATATGATATTTGAAAATATATGAAATAAAAAAAGAAAAACATAAGAACTTAATTCTTCTCTTTTCTTCTTTTGATTTCATTTCATTTGATTTACTATATGTTGTGTTATATATTTCTATTATATTAAAAGATACATTGTCCGAAAACAGTACGAAACAAATATATTTATATTACTGCAAAACATAAATGAGAAAAACTAGTTTCATTTGAAAGAACCTATATTAGAAGCTTTAGTTAGTATAAAAAATGAGACTATAATGGTACACGACTATGGGTTATGTTGGATATTACAATTAATGTTTTCTCATACTTATTTTAAAAAAATATGCTATTTCGATACATCTCGTTTTCAACACTGCTAAACAGAATGTGCTATTGGGAAAGCCACCTTAAAATTGTGTTTAATACAACGAAAAAAAAAATTCTAATTACTAGTCGTATATAATAATTTATTACCAGTCAACGATTCAGAAGTAATTTCACTAGTCGTTTGAATACGATGAGGTGTTCCAGTAATATGTGTTGTTACCAATGTAGAATTTGAAGGAGTATTGTTTAATTTGAAAATAGTTTTATTATGGATATTTTCTTTTTGATGGTTGTTGATGAGAATAGAATCAGTTGGATGCAATTTACCTGTAATAAAAGAGACACGAGAGACTTAGAAATAAAAATAGGCATGAATGATTGATGTAAAATTATACAAACCTTCATTTCGTATAATTTCACCAAGAAGAATACGTTCGTTTACCATTTCTCGGAATAATTGAAAATGATGGTCTTCTTTATAATAGTTATGATAATATTGTACAAATCCATCATTATTTTTCATAAAATCAATAGCTTCATTAGTAAACTCCATACCAAGTGGTAAACGTTGATGTTCAAATGTTGTTTCATAATGTGACATATTCAAACCCAAACTCTAAATGGAAAAGAAACATTTACTTTAATACACTTAGCATGTGTTCAAGATTTTTCTTATTATTTCACTTCTAATATTTAAAAAAAAATAAAAAATAAAAAGACAATCGTGTTTCATTTACGTTTAATTTTTTATATAACATTGAGTCTCTAAATGTATATACAAGTCTATTCGATGTAAAAATAGCTTACAATAGATTTATTCATACATTTACATATGTGCAAAATCCAGGATGTGCTAAAAAAATATGAAAAATATGATAATATTTACTTCAAAAGCTTGTTTTATTCTTGGATTGTTTTGAATCACTGATGGCAATTGTTTGCAGTATGATGAATATTGTGAATTGTCTTTTCTATGACGACCATTTTTAATAAAGTTTCCACCAATAAGTAATCCATTCTCAATTAAAGGAGAAAGAATTTGGTCCGGTTTTAAATTATATGAATGAGAAAATTGACCAGATCCTGCACCTTGTTTGTTATTTGTTAAATATTGTCGTGTAAAAAAAACAACTGAAAAATTCATAACCTTGATCATTGCCTTTTCCAATTTGATTTCTTCTGGATTTCTAAAAGAAAACACTACATGAAATAGCTACTACGATACTAATATATTTATAGATCTTAAAACTTATAAAAAGAATACAATTTTAAAATCTTTTTATGGAAGAACTCTTATTTAATTAATACCATATGTATAAAGATATCAAACAAAAACAAAAACAACTATAAACTTTTCCTTTAGTTTATTATGAAAAACAAATAGACTTACTTTTCGATTGGTTTTGTTCCTATTCTTTGAGCTACAATATCACGTAATGATTTAAGTGTAAGAAGAGCTTCAACAACCAACATTTTTCTCAAATACCAATTGTAACCAACAATAATATCATTTTTATTTGACCATATTATCCATTTGGATTCTCGAATTTTGTGACATTCAGTTAATAAATAATTTTTAATGGATGTTTCCATCGCTTGTTGAAATGATAAATCAATAGAAGCCGAATTGGAGGTTGATCGATCGCCTTGTTTCTGATCGATATACCTCAAATTATTACTCATTAACCGAAAAATAATACGAATAACTTTCATTGACCAAATACATTTTGGTAACATACTATTCACTTTACGACGAATCGATTTTAAATGATCTTCAGCTGAATTGGATGATTTCCACCAATCAGCAGCGAATGTTTTTAAAAGTTTGAATGAAGAAGTTTGTTCATCATTATCATCTTGATCACCATCAATATCACATGTACGAATATCATTGTTGTTCAAAGTAACACCATATGTAGCTGGTGTTGTGACGTTTTGTTTTTCTCGTTCTTGCATTAAACGTTCTTCATCTTCCAAATCTATAAAAGAAAAAAAGAACAATACAATTAGTTTTTATCTATAATTAATTACAATGAATTAACTTGGAGAGAACTGAGAAGAAAAACTAGGCAGTGTTTAAAATACACATGATAATGATTTTTAAATTAAAAATATTTTTCTCTACAACAAAAGTCAAGATTTAGAAAGACACTTACGTTCCGTATTGATATTCATAAAATCAGATTCATGTGCTGAATAACGAAATTGAAATTCATTAATAAATAAATGTGCAACTGAATTTGCAAAATGAGAAAATGAAGCAACATTTGTGTAACATTTAGGTTTCGCCATTGGTAATTCACTAATACTGGGACACCATGTAAAAAAGACTCGACCAAAAATACCATCTTGTATTCGTAACTCATAAAAACGTTGAAGCATATTAGCCATTTTAGTACCAGTACTGGCAATGAATATGTTTAAAAGTGCTACTGGTCGATTGATTATTATTTGTGATATTCCTGTCGCTCGGATAAATCCTCCACGGATGCCATCGGAGGCATCACAGAACAAACTTACTCCAGCTGCTGTTTCATTTCTACCTTGATCATAATAACCAAACTTATTTAAAGCTACATCTCCATCGGAGTGTAATAGAGTAGTATTGATTTTAGATAAGTTGTTGATCAAACCGACTTCAGTAATATTCGATACCATTAATGAGTATTCTTGTGCATATGATTTGTTTTTATTTTTGTTTTTATGAATATTGTCATAATTTTCATAATTTTCATTATTCGAAACTGTTTTTGGAGATGAATATCGATTGGGAAATGATTCAATAACACATTGTAAAGCTGATGAAATTTCATGGCATATTGAGCTTTTGTTTGATGCTTCAAAAAAAAACAGTTATTAACGATACAAAACACATAATGCGCTGAGGAATGGCTTCACATTTGAATATTCAATCAACACTAGTTTCTGTTTTTGGTTTAGATCATACTTAATTAATGATATACTGATCGAAAAAATAATGAAAAAGACTAGCATCCTTTCAAAATACTTTATACGCTGTGTACTCTATAGAATTTTCAAAAATGAAATAATGTACATATCTAGTCAAATCTGACAAAAACTATATTTACCACTTTCTCCAAGTAAATGATGGTTCTGATTTAAAAAAACAATATTTTTATTAAAAGTATCATAAAAATATGATTGTTCAGATAAAGCACCGACAATAGAACTTAATGCTGCAAAGGTAACTTCAAATGAATGACCATTTCTTTGTTGCTCTCTTAAGAAGCACAATAAATACCAATCTTTATCTTTATCGAGAAAATCGATATCAAAAGGTGGAAGGCAATTTAATTGTTGAAAGTTCGAATGAAGAATTGCTGCAAAATCAGCAGGAATCGGATGAACTGGTGTTCGATTATTCGCCATAATGCAAAATAAGAATAGAAGATGTTAATCGCTTAAACAGTCTGAAACGTCGGTATTTATAGCGACCGAATTGTACAGAGAGAATTTGGTTAAACAATGAAAATGACCTAGATGAATCTATTCTTCTTGTATTATTCATAATAGATTAAAATCGACGGACTATTCAATACGACAACACAGATAAAGAAAATTAACAAAGAGTTACAAGAAGAAAGTCTCCGTAACAACGAATATATCTTCTTTTCAGTAGTAAAATCAATTGGAAGACACATTTTTAAATATTTATCCATAGTTAGTTACCATTGTCAAAAATTAAAAAGACTTTTTTCGTTAGAAATCAATTAGATATTACTAATATCTTCATAAAGACTTATTTTTATTTTAAAAAATTACTTTCTTTTCAGTCTAGAAGTTATGGGTGGGATGTGGGTGTGGGTGTGGATGGGTGTGGGTGTGGGCGTGGGTGTAGGTGTGGGGTATCGGTGTAGGTGAGGGTGTGGGATGTGGGTGTGGGTGTGGATGGGTGTGGGTGTGGGCGTGGGTGTAGGTGTGGGGTATCGGTGTAGGTGAGGGTGTGGGATGTGGGATGTGGGTGTGGGTATGGGTGTGGGTGAGAATGAAGAGAAGACCGCACCCACACCCACACCCACCCCCACCCCC